ATAGAAAGAGGTAGGTTTTCAGTGGTGCTGCAAGCCTCTTATGGACCACAAGGTCTGATTCAAGGAAATTTACATTGGGTGGTTGGGAAGGCGCACGACGCTTGTGTATTCTGGAACTCAAGTCTCTTCCATAGGATGCACGCCGGCACTTTTTCCCCTGACTGCACCATCAGAGTCGGGGACATCAACATGCCTATGTACATCCTGGGTGACTCAGCTTACCCCTTGATCCACTGGCTGAGGAAGCCCTGCATGGACAGCCTGGACCCCATCAAAGAGACCTTCAATGCCAGGCTCAGCAAGTGCCGCAGGGTGGTTGGGTGTGCTTTCCACCGCCTCGAGGGGAGGCTCTGGAGTCTCCTCACCCACCTGAACTTCAGCAAGTGCAACATCCCCCAGGTCATGGCAGCCTGCTCTGTGCTCCACAACATCTAAGAGAGTAAGGGGGAGAATCTCCTGCCAGGGTGGTGGGCAGAGGCTGAACATCTGACCAGGGCTTATGCGCAGCTGGGCACCACTGCCATTCAGCAAGCAAATCAGGGGGCTATGCTTATTCAGGGAGCCTTGAGGGAGAGTTTCAGACAAGGCCAGCTGTGAGACTCTGTCCCACGCCTTCCCACAAGGGGCCTCTGCATTGCCCCTATGTGGCTGTCTTCCCCCACCCCTCCCTTCTCACCTTCTCCCCCTTCCCTACAAACCAATGAAGAAGCCTTTTTTGTTTGGAAAAACAACTCTCATGTTTTATTTGGAGGATATACAACAGGGGAGGGACTGAGCCACCCTTTTATATTTCCTCTTCCATCCTGCCTCTCCACTTCTGGTGTCTGGGACATGGCCCTCCTGATTCCACCCACTGGGCAGCATCTCCTTTGTATCCACCTCTGAAGGAGGCCATGCTTCCTCACTACAAGCCTGCAAGAAGTTACAAGGAATATCTATACGCCTTTAACACCTTTGCAGAAGTTGCAGCACCAACATCAGGAAAATCAGGAGTGTGTGCAGCTGGTTGACAAGCAACTGATAACTGGGTTAACATAGGTAAAAGAGGAAAAAGAAGCATTGGTGTTACAGTTCGGGGGGAGGGTCCGTTCTCCCCTTCCCCCATCTCTTCGCCCTTCCGGGTGACCTCGAGCACGAGCTGGACTAGCGTTGCAAGTGATTCACAGCCTAGACCGAGGCTGCTGCTCTATATCCCTTCGGAGCTGGCCAATAGCTGGGGAAGATAGGGGGGCTCGGGCCCACCTTCACTCTGAGCCTTGACCCACCCTCACTCCGAGCCCCAACCCAGGGCCCCAAGGACCTGGGAATGCTTTCCCAGGTCCGGCTGGTGGGGTTGAGACCCATAACACACCAACCCACGGTCTATCCAAAAGCTGCACCCTGGGTCGCTTCCTACCTCCCTCCTTCTATCGAGTTGCTCTCTCCGTCCTCCACGCTGTGACCTCTCTCCTGCCATGGTGGTGCTTGTTTTATGTGTCCTGTTGGGTCTGCGTCTGACGCAGGAAGGGGTGACCAGACATCCTTGGCCCCTCTCCCTCTTCCAGCTTCCGGGTGCATGCGCCCGAGTCTGTCTCCCCCTTGGCTATGGGGCCGGCGCGCACAAGCGGGGCTGAACCACCACCTCCATTGCTCCCCCGGCCACTGGAGCCAACGTGACCGGTGGGCGAGGTGAGAATCAGCTCCCCTCCCCCTCTCTGGCAGCCGTGGAGCATGCGCAGCACAGCTGGGGCTGGGGCCGCACGGCTGCTTCTCCCTAGAGCGCCAGCGCCGGCGTGGCCGCTGTGCAGGGTGCCGGGGTGACCCCGTCACAGTTGGCTATCCAATTTCTATGAAAAACCTTCCAGAGAAACTGTCAGATAGCAGTAAACTGTCTTTGGGGATAAGGGTGATGATGAAAGTTCAGTGGAAATGGGGAACTGCCATGTGTCATGCCTTTGTCCATAGTAAGGAAGTGGCATAGGTGGAGATGGTTACTTCAGTGTCTCATCATAATATCATTGCAGGCTGATGACTGGGAGTCGGGAGATGAAACTGACATATAAAAATCTTGCTCAGTCCTGGGCAGGGTAAAGATCATTGTGCCAGCGAGCAAGGCAGGCAATGCAAGTCTCAAGTGCAGAACTTTGAACTGGAGCCAGAATTGGTTTGGATTTTAGCATATAAACCGTGGATGTGATGTCCTCCTGTCACACTTCCATGGGGTCACCAGGGATTAGAGCAAGGATTTGGAAGTAAGCTGAAGACAAGACTAAAATGAGGACATGAACTGTATCTGCAATTATACTAGCCCCACGCTGGGAAGCCAGCAAATAATAGCTGATTAGTATTCTGACTGTGGCTGACGAATTGATACACACAGAAAAGCCTTAATTTGGTGGGGCATGTACAGGTACAATAGGCTTTATCTGAAAAGAAGGGATGTTAAGTGAATGGATAAGAGAATAGATACATCTTTGGGGGAGTAATTAAATTAGAGATGGAGCTATTCTGAATAAACAGGAGTCTGTATAATAGCCAGCCATGAGGGAAGAGATTACCTACAATAAATACACAGGGAGAAGGTGGAAATTAAAATGAATCAGATTGTTTATTTAAGAACTTAAAAGAGAAGGGAAAGATGTTTAAACTTGCTAATAGCAGCTCCTTAAACCTCCATACACCTGTGGCTTGTTACTCTGATGTCTTACTTTCAAGTACCTTTCCTTAAAGGAGGGATAAAAGAATATCTCGTGCCATCAAAATCTTACTTCTCATAACACAGGCACTTTTTATTTCATTTTTTTTTACTATAGCTGCCGTGTTAAAGTCCATGGCATATATATAGTAACCAACATGTGAGGCCCTGATTCTGTACAGCCTTAGCATGTGCTTCACTTCATGCATGGATATAGTCCATTGATTTCAATGGGGCTACTTGCATGCTTAAAAGGAAGCACATGCAGGCACAGGGCTTAAAAGTGGCTGTGCATGCAGACCCGTTTAAAGGAGGGGGAGTATTATCCTTCCATACCTATAAAAGGAGGGCTAGTGAAAATTGCTGTCCCTGTGCTCACCCAAGTGCCCGAAAGAAGCTGGAAAAGGCTGGGCTTGCTGCCCCTTCCTGTTTCTGGCCACATTGTGATAGAATAAACTGTGCTAACTTGAAAATGATGTGGTGTAGCCTGCAAAGTGTGTCCCCCCACCCCCATCATTGTTCTGGGTGGATTGAACCTACCTCAAGCAGAATCCCTCCCCATCGGGTGGTACATTTACATATCATCCCCATCGGGGAAGGCTCTAACTGCTACTCCTTGTTTCCTGCCACCTCCTATATCTCACCAGACTTCAGAAACACCCAGGCTATGTCTACACTGCAGGCTTCTTGCACAAGAACTGTTTTGCTCAAGAGTTCTTGCGCAAAACGTCTTGCCCAAGAGCGTGTCCACACTGCCATATGCTTTTGCGCAAGAGTGTCCATGGCGGTGTGGATGCTCTCTCGCGCAAGAAAGCTCTGATGGCCATTTTAGCCATAGGGATTTCTTGTGCAAGAAACCCCTGTTGCCCGTCCACACTGCCTTCTTGCGCAAGAGGGCTTATTTCTCGTGGGGAGAGGAATAAGTCTTGTGTAAGAAGCCCTCTTTTTCCAACGCTTTGCTGTAAGTTTACTTGTGCAAGTACACGCATGTAGTGTAGACGCTCCACAAGTTTTTGTGCAAGAACAGCCATTCTTGCACAAAAAGCCTGCAGTGCAGATGTAGCCCCAGTATCTCGCAACAGTGAAATAGGTTCTATCCCTGTCCATTCTACTCCAGTACACTGGAGTTCAGAGTAGAGATGCGTGCAGTTTTTTTACTAACATTTTTTTTAGAGGGGAATGCAGATTTGGCAACACCCAAACATTTTTCAGATTCATATTGATTTCACTGAATTATCCATATTGGTGGAAGGCAACTCCAGAAACTCCAGAAAAATTGAAATATTTTGATTGAACATTTTCAAATTGAAATGCTTTAATTTTCAGCTTTGTAATACATTCGTTCCCAAAAATCTTTCCTTTTGAGATGAACAAACCATTTCATTTGAATTGAAATGATTTTTAGTTTTTTAAAAATTTATGAACAAGAATAGTAATAGAAATGTAGCCGTGTTAGTCTGGTGTAGTTGAAGCAAAATGCAGGACTATGTAGCACTTTAAAGACTAACAAGATGGTTTATTAGATGATGAGCTTTCTTGGGCCAGACCCACTTCCTCAGATCAAATAGTGGAAGAAAATAGTCACAACCATATATACCAAAGGATACAATTAAAAAAATGAACACATATGAAAAGGACAAATCACATTTCAGAACAGAAGGTGGATAATAAGAGTTGTCCAAGGCAAAACTGGCAAGTTTGCAAAGTGCAACAGTTGATGGCACTTCTAGAATATATTCTAGGAATGCAGAGATCAGTTTTGTCACATCTCATACTACAGTTTGGACCTCCCTGGTCCGGCACCCTCGGGACCTAACCAGTCCCAAATGAAGGAATTTGGATCAGAGGAGATCCCCTGCCACCAGCCTCCCAGGACACTACCTCTCCCTCTGGCTGGCTCCACCAACTCAATTAAAATCTTACATTTCCTCAGTGGTTTCTGCTGGTGTCAGCAAAGTTGGTGTATAAATTATTGTTATGGTGCAGCCATTTGAGGGTTTTATTTATTTTCTCAATTATGTATGTATTCTTGCTAGATTTCTTTGTCTCTAGTTGGTAATCTAAAATAACTAGCTTATTATAAATGTCATGTAATGTATATTGTCTTTAATTAGCAATAGTAAAAATATATCACATTCTCTTAGCACCTAGAAATTTAGGTAATCTACATAGAACAACATGTGTAAGCGTAGGGCTGATGCTAAAATTGAAATTTTTGTAGAGCCTAAAAAAGAATGAAAATATAAATTTTGGTTCAATAAAACACTACCAAATAAGCATACAATATTATTAGGTAGTGATTGAGTTGACAACAAGAAAACTTCAAAAATACATATTATATTGTTTTCGAGTCTAGTACAGAGCAGTTAATAAGCTCCATTTTTTAAACAGCTAACAAAATCATCTGAAGAACAGGACTTGGTGATGATGAGGCACTTCAACTATCCAGACATCTGTTGGGGAAAAGACACAACAGGGCACAGATTATCCAACAAGTTCTTGGAATGCATTGCAGACAATTTTTTATTTCAGAAGGTACTGGGAGCAAGCTGTTCTAGATTTGATTTAACAAATAAAAAGAGAGGAACTGGTTGAGAACCTGAAAGTGGAAGGTAGTTTGGGTGACAGTCATGAAATAATACAGTTCATAATACTAAGAAATGGTAGAACAGAGAACAGCAAAATAAAGAAAATGGATTTCAAGAAGGTTGCAGTAAACTCGGAGCTGATAGGTAAGGTCCCATGTGAAGCAAGACTAAGAGGAAAAACAATTGGGTGCACCTACACAGCTGTGCGACTTTGGGAACGTCCGTTATCCCGAAATAGCAGTCTGCATGTCTTAACAGCAAATCCATTATTTCGAAATGCATTCAAAATAACGGGCTTATTATTTCAACATCCCATAAACCTCACTGCACAAGGATTAAGGGACTCATTGGAATAGCGCTCTATTTCAAAATGAGCGCTATTTAGACAGTGCCAAATTTCAAAATAGACTGCATCAAAATAAGTTATGCAATTTGCGTAGCTCAAAATGCACGCGCCTGTCTTGTCCAGTGAAGAGTGTGGAAATATATTGGGGGGATATGCACGCGCCTGTCTTGTCCAGTGAAGAGTGTGGAGATATATTGGGGGTGGGCCCTGCTGGTGGGGGAATCCGAGACCTCCCCAGTCCACGGCTGGCCTTATGTGGAACCTCAGCCAGTCTGACCACTTATGACTCCTCGTGGTGCACCCCTGCCATGCGGCTCCAGCTCTGGCCCCGGCTGACCACAGCAGCCACTGTTCCCTCCTGCCACGTGGCTCCTCCGTCCCCAGCAGCTGGAATCACAGCTGCCCTCATGTGGCAGGAACAACTGCTGCTGCCATGCAACTCCAACCCAGGCAGCTGGAGGAGTAGCCGCTGCTGCCATGCAACCCTAGCTCCAAGCCCCGTAGCAGCTAGGCAGTTATTACATGGTCCTGGCTGCAGCCCTGGGGAGGCAGAAACAGCAAAGAGCTGCCAGGTGAGTCCCCACTCACCTACCTCCACCATCATCATCATCAGACCCGCTTCCACTGGCATGCTGCTGCTGCATGGCTCTGCAAAAGAGGTGACTGGGTGGAGAATTTTTTGTGCATGGCCATGCTGGCATGCACCTTAGCAGGAGCTATGCTTATAAGGGAAGACTGAAAAAACTGGGTTTGTTTAGTTTGGAAAAGAGAAGACTGAGAGGGGACATGATAGCCATTTTCAAGTACCTAAAAGGGTGTTACAAGGTGTTAAAAATTGTTCTCCTTAACCTCTGATAGGACAAGAAGCAATGGGCTTATACTGCAGCAAGGGAGGTTCAGGTTGAACATTAGGAAAAACTTCCTAACTGTCAGGATGGTTAAACACTGGAATAAGTTGCCCAGGGAGATTGTGGAATCTTCATCATTGTAGATATTTAAGAGCAGGTTAGATAAACATCTGTCAGGGATGAACTAGATGGTGCTTGGTCCTGCTGCGAGTGCAGGGACTGAATGGAGGTCCCTCCCAGTTCTAGTATTCTATGATTTTGGAATATGACCCAATTACATGAATCTGTTTCAGTTTCATTTTTGACATGCTTAATTTAAATTTCCATTAGGGTATTTGAGAAGAGCAGGTGAAAGTAGCCAAAACTGGCAAACTATACCCAAATGATCAGAAGCTAGATCTATTCCTTTAGTCACCACTACTGTAAATCTTGCTATCAACATCTGTGAATGTGTTTCTACTGAACGCTAAGAGCAATACAATATGGCACTTCAATGTATCATTAAGTACATTAATTTTAATCTCTATTCTTTCACTTCATTCAATAGACCTAAGTAATTGGGTTTCAGTGTCACTCCTGCTGTTTTTGAAAAGGAATTCTCTCAGAAACTGTTAAGTTGGCTGTTTAGTTAGTAAAGCAAAGAAGCATTGAGTCTCGTAAATAGAACTTTTCTGTAAATTAGCAACAAACTGTGGCTTACTTTTTAATTTAACATCAAAGTCAGTGAGTTTTTGATGAGTCAGATGAATAAATTGCTTGTAGAATATCGTAGATGGTCCAGAGTCTAAGTAGAATGCTGCGAATTTCAGTGAAATTAGTCTTTCAATAAGCTCTCAGTGGATAGCTGAATTCTGAACCAAGCACTTTCTAAAACTCCTAGTCCATATCATGTTCACATATGAGATTCAACACTAAGTATTTAACAGTCTAATTTTTAAAGGTAAAACAGAGCTTCTTCCAAAATTGGACCCTATAGGATGATCTTACCAAGTCACTAGTGGGGAAAAAATATTCAAGGCTACAACAGATGGAGAGGAGGAGGTAGTTGGAGGAAAGCATAGGAATACAGCTGTCTTTGTCAATGTTAAATCAACTCATTTACTGCAGTTATTGAAGTTAATGGCCTTTGCATTGGGCCATAAATATCTACAAATGTAAATTATGACTCCTTAAAACTACTACTTTCATGGTCCTTACTACCCTGTTTTCCTTCCTATTGCGGGTGCATCCAAATCAATAATTTAATTAGTTTGAATTTTCAAGGAAGTTCCATTTGAGATCTTGACTTTGGGTACAATTTTGCAAAAGTGTTGAGGTGATTTGGTGCCATCTCTATTCACTGTGAATCTCACTCCATCTGAACTGGTTTGGTTTTGTTCTGTCTTCTTTAGTCTAAACTGTTAGTCAGGTAATGAGTCATATTTCATTTGTAGTAGTGCCAGGTAGATTTACAATACTGTAAAATAGCATCATGATGATGATGGAAACCAAATACCCCATAGTCAGAACTCCTGACTTTCACTGCTTCACTAAGTCCTCATCTTGGACAGCACATGGGGCAGCATTCATAATTATTTGAACTACATTTGTGAATTCTATATGTAAGTAACCGGCTCTCAATTTTAAAACAGCATCTGCATCTGTACATTGATGGGCTTTATGCACATGTCTAAAAGTGAATCCATAGAGCTGGAACCCTAATTGCCATGTAGGCTAAGAATAGCTTAAAAACGTGTACAACATCAGGATGTTACTGTGATTCAGAGGCAACCTGAAAACGCATTATCATCACTCCTGAAAAACAAAACTATTTCCATGGGTGTGTAAAATGCAAAACACTATCACATCTGCAAGCTGTAACTATGCTACTGTGTCTTAAATTAGTTTAGATTTCACATTTTTCCCTCTCACCTTCTGTTTAACAAAAGTATGAATAGATGATAGAAAAAAATAAGTCTGTGGGAAAAAATATCATGGGACTGAACTAATTCTCCTGTCACTCAAGTAGTTAAAAAACAAGCTTTGCATTTATTGAAGGTGAATGTAAATGACTAAGGAGGCAGACAGATGGCTCAACTTTTCTTTAGGTGGTTCATCACGCTTTAGTATTCACAGAAAATTGTCTTTGATAAATGGATGCAATGTTAAATGGATATTCAGGCAGCATGCCGTCACCTTTAATTACGGTCAAACAGGATATCTTTGTCTGATACATTTCTGTCACTGCTATGACAACTTCATTACCATACCAGAAGCTGTTAGAGTATATTAAAGTATCTATTAAAGCCTATTTTATTGAACTCCAAAGTGGAGTGTAGTTCAAACTTAATCAAGATGTATGTTACAGCAATGTTTTATTGTTACTCTGTAGCTAAGACCATTTCTTCCTATGGGCACTGATGCCACAAGATCCTGAAGATCTGCTGCTCAGTGGCATTGAGGAGAGTTCAGGATCTTTCAAGTAGTAATCAGCACCCTGAAGGATTGAGACCACGATGTCTGTTTCCAGCAGTGAAATGAATTACGCTCTGTAAAGATTAGGTGAAGTTTGTATTCATGACTCAACATGGGTGGGTACTGGATAACTGGACACCAGTAGGGAATTCCCAACTTTTGAAACCTGCTGTGTGGTACACAGAAGTTTTATCTTACATTAGGGCTACAAAAAATAAGTCTATTTCAGAAAGCTGTTTAGGTTTGTCCTTTGGCTGGAGCTGGTGGAAACTCAAAAATTCCATTCCCATGGCAAATATTGACATTTTAATGTTTGTTCTGATTCTGAATCAGAAGAAATAAAAAAAACCAAAATTTTACTGCAACAGGGAAATTTGAAAGTAAATTTTGTTTCAGAAAAAAATTTGAAATTTCATTTCAAAACAAAGTGTTCACTTTGAATTTTTGTGCTTCTTCGTTTGTAAATCTTCACCTTATTTCATGAGGGATCAGTAGTATTAGTAGTGTATAACATGAAGCTACTACTGATATATTATAAATTGCTGCAATCTTCTGTTGATTTATATTTAATTTTTTAAATCTTTAAGGAGAGATGCTACTTCAACTAATCAGCAAACAAGAGTGTGTTTTCACTTGCATATCACAGCAAAAGCATCACCAATATGAATTATATATGACTCTCATAGAGGTGGTTTTCTTTTTCTGGTGCCACTTCTGAAACTCATTGGCAATTTTAGACATCCCCAGGGTTTTTGTGCAAAAAGGGGATTTTTTTCCTCTTTAAATGACAAGTGTAGACATGCATCCCTTACTACATCTTATCCTCCTCTCGTGCTGGCCAGGATGGAAGCCTACTACTGCTACCAGCTTCTCCCCTATCTGAAGTGACAGAATTCTATGCAGCAAATCTGAGACTATCTCTAGACTGTGGGGGCAGGGGGCAGGGGTTTGAAAAAAGATACGCAAATTGCAATTTGCGTATCCTTTTCCGCTTTTTTTTCCAGAAGAGATGTTTCCAAAATTTGGCCTGCCTACACAGGGCCAAATTTCAGAAAGACCTCCTCTTTTCAGAACATCCATTATTCTTCTCACTGAGAGCAATACAGGGATGCCGAAAGAACACGTCTGCTTTTTCAGAAACTGTTCTGAAAAGCGGACATGTTCCCTGGATGCAGCAGGTTTTCCAGGACATTGGAGGTTTCTTGGAAAAACTCTGC